TGTGGGGACAAACAGCGCTGGAGCAGCCGCTGCTGCTGTTGATGCTTGGAGATCCAAGGATGCTGTCCCTGCTGTTGAGGAAGACGAGTCCTTACAAGGGGCGCCAGCTGCTCGTCTTACCGGGGATGCTCTGGGTGTGTCTGGTTGCGGCCACGGGCCCGCCCACCTGCTCTCCTTGCTGGTGACGGAGAGAAAGCCCTTCTGCTTCTGCGCACGCGCTTTTCGGCCACACACCCCGCTCTGACGTCATTTGGCTCCGCCTCCCGTCTTCCGCCGACGTCTTCAGGCTGCTGCTCGGCCATACGCTGCCACTCTCCTTCAGGCTGCATCGATGCCTCAGGACGCTCTGGCGGGTGGCTGCGGCGATGAGACGCGCTCCTCAGCTCCTCTTCTTCCATGCGGGCGAGCTCCGGATCTTCTTCCCGGCTCTGCATATCTTCGGCGGCTGCCAGACAGCGGCGCAGCCAGTCTTCTCCTCCGGCGGCTTCAGCCCTCTCCAGGATCTGACGGACCAGGGTCTTCATGTATTATAGCAGAGCTCGCTGCGCTGTGAGTCCAGCCGAGTGACCTCTGCTCCTCAGGTGCTGACCTTTTATAGGGAGAGGTGAGCCCACAGAATCTTCTAGAAGCTGGACAATTTTCCCGCCTAAACAGGTAAGGCGTTTCTTAAAGGGGTCAATGCTTTTAAAGGGGCAATGCAATTAAAATGCCCTGAGGAGAAATAGATTAAACTGAAAGAGGGGAAGGGGACCGCCGCAAACCCATGTTAGTGGCCACAAATAAATTGTCGGCCCTTTGTCCATGACTTTAGGAACAGTTGCTACTTGCGGTTAAGAGCAGCCAGGGCTCTGTGGAATGTATGTGAACATATGTAAAAGCACTTTAAGAAACCTGCTCTCATGTCAGCCTGCAATTTAAAGTGTTCAAGTGAACAAAGATTAATTTCAACAAACAGAAAAAAAATGATTAGCATGAGGTTAACATCCATTGGTCCAATTCCTTCCTAAAATTAGAATACAGTCTTGGTTTTTATGTAGACACATTCGGGTAAACCTATTCCAAGCAGTATAGATAAAAGCCAAGTAACCCCTGACTTAGTGGGAGAAGAGGCTTAAATAGAATACTTGCGTAGGAGTTTTGGCATATCAGCAAATTGATTCATTTATTTAAAGCTTATCTCCAGGCACAAAAAAAAACAACAACTTTCATTAAAATATATTCCTTAATAGCCACAAAGGATATAACTCCACTTTGTGTGCACCAAATGCCTTGGAAAGTTAGATATTACTTTGTAAACGTAGCAGTGACATCATCACTGTGCTATACATAGCTTGTGCAGAGAGCAGCGCTGTGGGAGGAGGATCAGCAGTCCCCACCCATTACAAACTAACTACAGGAGAGGGCAGATAAAAGACCAATCACCCTGCACAAGGAGAGCAGCAGTGACCAGTCTTTATTACAGGAAGCTCCTGCACAGAAGCAAAGTTTAACACTGGATTACTGCATAGATCTAGCAGAAATATAGAGAGCACACCAAGATCCAAGAACACACGCGCATCTTGTATTTAGACAATATATGCTTATTCCTAAATTTAGCTTTATAGATCCAAAAAAAATCTTAAGCCTGGAACATATGAGAAAGGAAAGTAAAAATGTTTAGCCAATGGGCGCTGTTAGCCCATGCTTTGTAATGTTACCTACAGCTTGACAACATAACAGGAAGTGTTCCTACATGTTATATTGTTCTTGCTAAGCTCCAGGCTCACTACCCAACCCTTGTATTAGATGCAAGCATCTATCATCAGAATAGATTAAATTGGCCTCCTGGCATGCATTGCATCTGCAAAAGTGTTTTACAAAAAGCCATTCCAACAGCAGTATGTCATAGCTGGCCAAATATGTAATCGGGCTATGAACTACATGTTCTAGAAAGGCTGTGTGATGCTTTGGGTTGTAGAGATTCCATGGGGTGATGATAAGGGTGTATGGAATTACAGCTCGTCAAGCACTTAGGAGGCCTCTAGGATAGACTGGGAACAGGGCTTAGAGTAAAGAAGGCAGCAAAATGGTGTATCATGGATTGCACCTAGTTTATAATGCAACAAGGAACTTGAAGATTCACACCATTCTTGGTTTATGTCTACTTTCCTGGGTCTGTAGAATTTTCTTTGCACCCAAAGTTCAGATATACAGTAGACTTAAAGATTCAGAATTCCAATTTCCCCATCCATGCTAAACAGGTGATGGCTCAGGCACAGAATGAAGGCAGATGTCATTCTGCATCGCAGATTCATAAATGACTCATTAGGCTGTAATTAGCACCGATGACAAATGTAAGCATTTCAGTTTATACGGTCATAAACGGAGAACTATGACCCAACCTTTTTATTTTGCCATAGATCTCTTTAGGGGTCACAGGGGGACATATACTGTGTCCTCTTGTGACCCAAATTTCAGCATATAGAGGGCTATTGTCCGCTATATGCTGACAGTGCAGAGCCGTGCTGCAGCCAGGACGGATCCCGACAATATTGTTAGGATCCACCCTGCTGCCTATATGACGGCTGGCTCTGCCTGTCTGAAGGGAGAAGATTGGGAATTGAGCGTGTATGTGATTGCTCCTTTCCCGATCAATAGAACCGATGTGTGACCGCTTCAGTGTCTCGCACCGTCTCTAACTATGGGGATGAGTGTACTTCACTCTCCCCATACTTCTCCTTTTAATTAGCGGGTGTACTGTATGTCCTTACAAGTTCAGACGCAGCATTGAAAGCTTTTTACACAGGATCTTTCTGCCAGCAAGATCTTGGGTGAATCAATATGGCCGTGTCCATGAGGCCTAAGAATGCCAGTATATACAGTATAACACTGGGGGGAATTTATCAAAACTGGAGCAGACAGAATATGAACCAGTTGTCCATGACAGCCAATCAGCATCTCTCTTCAGTTTGCTCAGGTAAGATTTGAAAATGAGAGATAGAAGCTGATTGGTGGCAGTGCAAATCTGCTCCAGTTTTAATTAAATTCCCCCCAGTGTGTCTGAGTTGAGGAGGATCAGTTGTATGCTATAAACAAATTATACACAGTATTTATTTCTTGATATTCAGATATCTTTCCCAATCCCGTCCGCATCTTGCCATTCCCTTACCCAAATTCTATATTTGCTAGTTAATTTCTTTGCAACTTGTTCTGTTACTACTCCGCATATCATATGAGTACTGGTCTGAATCTCTGTTTGCCATCTTTGTTTTGTGTGTCTGTTTATGATGCATTGGTCGGCATGAGCCCAGACACAGTGTGGCATTCTCTGACTCCAGTTCTACTGAACAAAATATAAAATGGTTTGTATATTTGTTTTTCGTTAAATGAATATGAAATATTACTTATGAATATATTGTGTTTTCATATTTAGGCAGCAGGCAGAGCATTTGGCTACTATTAACCACTTCCGGGCCGCAATACGTCTATAGACGGTGGCCCGCAGAAGTGGTTAAAACATGAACACGGCTGCTGCAGCAGCCGTGTTCTTGGTACCGCTTGTAACAGCAGGCGATTGCGATTGCCGTCGGCTCATTTGTTCCGTGCGGACGCCGTTGGCTTTCCATGGCACCGCTGTCCCCAGGGAGCGGCTTGGCGGGTCTCCCTGCAATGATCGGAGAGAGATTCAGCAACTTCCAGACGCTGATCTCTCCTCCGATCACTGGACCTGGAAGTGATGTGTATTACATCACTTCTGGTGTCACTCTTACAGTCTCCTACAGTCTTTTAATTTAGTTTATTTTTTCCTAAAAATACTGGTTTCATAAACATTTGCACAAAAACGGTGCGACATAGAAAATTGCAACTAGCATTTGTTTTATTCCCAAGGTCCTCTGCTTTCAGAACATATATCATTGTTTGGGGGTTTGAAGCGGTTTTCTAACCAAAAATGTTTATTTTATCATGTGTGCGCAAATAGTAAGAAAATGCCATGGACAGCAAGTGGTTACAGCTCTTGCTGTTTACAGAGTTCAGTAGCTCAAACCGAAGTTTGCGCACAAAACTGAATAAGTCAAGGCAGCGACTCATACACCCTCTCTCGCACCCTAGAGAAATTAAGTCAATAGATACACAAGTGTTTGAAAGGAAACAGCATATTCAGAATATAAAAGTTAAAATGATAGGTGCACTTTCATACAAAGTACACTTGTGCTTTCTCCCTCTCCACTATGCAAGTCAAGTCCGCCTCCTAATACTTGCTTTGCAGTCGTGCCCGTGACCTTCGCACTTTGTTTATATTTGCATATCGATTCTGTATGCTGACAGTGCAGAGCCACATGCTCTATTGTTGGGAACCACCCCGCTGCCTGTTTGACAGCTGGCTCTGCCTCTTTAGAAGTTGTGCCTGTCCCCTCCTGTCTGTCTCTCCAGTCAGCGCTGGAGGAGCAGAGAGAGGAGGGGGGAATCCCTATGCGGAGTGTTAACTGACAGTCACTGCTCTCTTCAGGGAGAAGATTGGGAACTGAGCGATCAGTGGTTGCAAGCTTGAAAAGCTGGCTATACATGTATTGTCACCATAATCATCATCACCATAATCAGTAGTATGTGATCGCCCAGTTCCCAATCAATAGAGCTGTCATGTGACAGCTGCAGTGTCACACGTCGGCTCTAATTATGGGGATGAGTGTATTTCACTCTCCCCATAATTCTCCATTTTAATCAGGGTTGGCCCTGATATGTTTACTCAGGGTGCCGGGTTTAAGATATTAGCTAAACTTATTATTGCCCCTATCAGTTTTAGAAACTACAAATGTGTAATGTTTAAAGATCTGATCGACTTCATGGTTAGAAATTCTACAAATGTTTTTGTGTGAACTGAAGACCTTCTTTAACACACTGTGAAATCTTTGTGTCCTCATTTTATGTTCATTTATTCATCTTCATTTTATATTTTTGCCCTTGTAGCTCTTGCATCATAATATGTTTTGCTGATTTCAAATCTGTTTACATTGTTAACATTGCTTACATGAGTCATGGTGGTCAGAATACTTGATATTGGCTTCATATTTTATCTAACACTGGATGCCATTATAATGCTAAGCATGAATACTGTGTACATAGGCAAAAACTGAAAATAGTTAAGCGGCTCTTTTTCTTGGTAGCTAGAACATGTTCCTAAAGTGAACTAATCAACATTTGCATTTATGCTGCATGTAAAATAATCTGTTCACTGCTGCTTCTTTATGACTCATTTCTGCAGAATCTGCTTTCTATAGTTCCTCTTCTCTTCCAGTGTATCTCCAATAGTTGTTTCCTGCAGCAAGGCTGACAGGATGTAAGGCCAGTAACTGCTGGGTGTTAGAATGTTTTTGTATGTCTATCCTAAGAGTGTTTTATAGTTGTACCTACGCAAACTATATAAAAGTTATTTTTAATTTCTTTTGTTTCAGGCCCATGATGAACACGTGAAACAAATGCTGAGAGTAATATGTAGGGACATTGCTGAACTAGACATAAGTGGGTGCTACTGGCTGTCTGCCCCAACAGTGGACATATTATCACGCTGTAAGAAGCTAACTAAACTGAATATGGAAGGCTGTTCTGTTACATCCTTGCGTCTTTCCAAAATTCTTTCAGATCTTCATCATCTGCGCTCTTTGTCGGTTGATATCAATGCAGGGTTTGATGCCGGAAAGCTAAGTAGTGAATGCAAAGCAACACTCAGTCATCTAGAGGAACTAAAACAAACTGTCTATGTACCATCCTATGGAGTTGTGCCATGCTGCACTAGTCTCAAAAGGCTTCTCCTTTATTTTGAAGTCTTGGACAGAACACGTGAAGGAACAGTAATGTCTGGGCAACTGATGGTCGGAGAAAGCAATGTACCCCATTACCAGAATCTGAGACTGTTCTATGCACGTCTTGCACCTGGTTATATAAATGAGGAAGTTGTTCGATTGTATTTGGCTGTGCTTAGTGACCGGACACCAGAGAATCTTAGATCGTTTCTCATATCTGTCCCAGGAAGCCTAGCGGAAAGCAGAGCTACCAAAAATTTGCTTGAATCAATGGCAAGGAATGTGTCTTTGGAGGCATTTCAGTTGCCTAAATACTGGTTGAATGGATCTTGCTTACTTCAAAACATGAAATTTAGTTGCCCATCATACTTAAATTTCAGTGGCTGCATGATTTCTGGTGATCAGCTTACACAGAGGATTTTGAATGGTGGAAAAGACTGTAAAAGTCTTGTTAGTTTGAATCTAAAAGGCTGTGCCTTATGCCTCATCCCCAACTTGAATTCAAGAAAACCTGAAGATGACATAGATAGCTCCATTTTGTACAATTTAATATCTGCATGTTCCAACCTTGCACACTTAAATCTTTCTTCCGCACACCATCACAGTTCAGAGACTTCAGGAAGGCATCTCTGTGAGATTTTATCACAACTAAAAAACTTACGTTCTCTTTCTTTGCCAGTGTGTGCTGTAGCCTACAACTGTACACCACTATCTACTCCTAGTGCTGCGCCACCCATGTTTGGCAAAAAGGTTCGGGTTGGAGTGAAGACTTGCTCAAAACTACCTGAAGAGCAGAGTATACCTAAGCAATGCTCTGCCTTCTGGAAACTCCTAAAGGGAACGCCAGTTCTGAAAGTCTTGGAATTCATTGGCTCAAACTTTTATTCTGTTATGCCACGGAATGATCCAGCAATACGCAACACTTATCCACCTTGCAAGCGTTCACATGCTGTAGTGGATGCAGAAGTGGCAGCAATCAGCCAGCTTACTTATTTGGAGAACCTTACACTTGCACAGCTTCCAGGAATAGTTGCAGGTTCCAGCCTCGTAAATATTGGCATAAGCTGCCAACAACTGTGTAGTTTGTCACTGGCAAATATTGGTATGATGGGCAAAGTAATGTACATGTCTTCACTGTGTGAGATGTTGACACACTGCAAATGTTTAAAGGATCTAAGGTAAGACTTATTAACCAACATTTTACTAGAGGTTCCTGTTAATGTCTAATAGATTTAAAGTCTAACTTTACTTTTGTTAAAAATTAACATCCTCACTATTAATGGTTCAATGCAGATCTACTACCTGTTGCTGTTTGATAGAAAGTCACAACTTCTTTACATTCGATTCCTCCTTCACTTGCTTCTTCTTGAGTGTGAAGGCTGGCCATACACTGCTTAGATTTTTTAAATAACTTTCGTACAAAAGGACTTTCTTTCCAAAACTGGCATACGATGCTCTTCCAAAGAAGATCAAATTTTTTTCCACATGCCTCTGTACAAAAAAGAACCATGACGTGTTTTTGCCTTACTGGGCCTTAGTCATACCGAACGTTCTTTTGACTTTCTATTAGTTGAAGGGGTCAAATTTATGATCGATTTCGTCCAAACTCAAAGGAGCAGGAAGGAAAATTGTTCTCGGACTAATGAAATGTGGTTTTTATTCGGGAAACTCAATTCGTTCCAAAATCAAATTAGAGTTTGTCCGACATTCGTCAAATGTCTGGTGGCATTATCGGGTTGTAAAGAAAGCTCTTTAGTACAACTGTTAATTTGTAGATCTACTAGTGTATGGCCAGCTGAAGTTGAAACGTCTATCTGCTATAGTCACATAACTAGAGGAAAAGCAAAAAAACACCGGCGCCAGCACCCGCGACTTGTATACACACAAACTAGTAACACTAGTGATGCAGCTCCCACTGGTCAGGGCAACCGACAAACTGGAAAACATAAAGCAAAAAGGAGCACCTCCATAGTGTAAAACAGTATTTAATAAAAAGAAGGCACACAGCTAGGGCTGTACTTACAAACAACTGTAGAACACAGGCATGTAACAAGGATGGGTAAACGAAATCACGAACAAAGACGAGCTGGAGTATTGATGTTAAACCAGAGTCTTCTGCCCCCAAGTATTCCACGGGTTTACATATTTCAGAAGCAACGCCCCCTTCATCACAACCTATCTATATAGGTTATCGATTATTTGGTTGGGTCTCCCAGCTCTCTCCTCCATGCTAGGAGAAGAGCACAGCAAGCAGTGTGCGGGTGCAATATCCAGCCTTCTATTGGCAGTTGCAATTTGAAGGGGCCAATAGGAGGCTGGCTATTGCACCAGCCCACTACCTGCTGTATTTACATTCGACTGCTGTCCGAGGAATCTTGCCACTGGCAGCTGTCATTTCCTGGCTGAACCTATTCAGGCGCCATGTGCTTACAATACAATTATTAAAATAAAAATGATAAAAGGTGGGAAAATAAGTAATTTTTTGGTTTTGGTCTGGCAAATTCTGCGACGGGTGGTGCATTGCAATGCCATTTGTTTTAATGGCACCGCAAACGCACCTTTTACCCACCGTGTGATCGCCTGCATTGAAAAGCACGGTACCACAATGCCGTGCGTTCCTGTGCAGCGCGATTGCAAAAAATTGTGAATTCAGTTTTATTCTAAAGTAAACTTTATAACACTCCATTTGTGTATTTTATTTAAATTAAGGATGGTATTTAATTTTTCTTATCCTATTAATTGGCCAACTAATCGATTATGAAAATAATCATTAGTTGCAGCCCTAGTTGTAAAAAAAGTGGAGGTACTTGTAAAGAATAAGTGCATGTTTAGAAAAAGTTTACTTATTCTTTTTGCCCCCCTTCCCTGACCTACACGATCCCACGCCCTCCGCAGTTCGGTATTAACCGAGATCCAAAGGCTGCAGCTTTATTGTTTGTTGACATCCAGCACTTCAAGTCTCCCACTTCTGGCTGTGTCAGGAGTCTATGGGGCTGTAATGTGCAGGTATGTCCAGCAGAAGGAACACTGTGGCTCTGGATGTAAACAATAGAGGAATCGTGCCTGTCGGATATGGTTAAGTACGGATCTGTGGAGAGCGAGGGTGGTATGATTTAAGTCGGGTGGGGAACACAAAAAAAAATGCACTTCTCTTTTAAATTCAGTAATACCTGTTTGCATAATAAAATATTAGTGGTCTTTTGTTGCTGAGCTCGTCTCTCAAATCTCTGTGCGGCATTGTAGTCTAATTCTGGGTTCTCTTATGTTGATTGTCGTTCAAAACGAAGCACCTATAAATACAATTTTTTGTCTCTGCTGTCTGTTTATGACTTGCAGGGTAATGAAAGTTGGTATTATGCAGGTACTGCAGAAGAGAAGTGCTGCTATTTTTCTTAGTCTACTAAAAACTGATGTTTAAGTTTTTGGTTGATGCTGGAAAATGAAATCTCTTAACAGTTTCTTACGTCTCTCTGGAATACCACTGATAAAAAATGTTTTGTCTTAAGTTCCCAAATCTGCAAACCTGCCACAGCAAGAACAAGGGATTCCACTCCCCAGTTAGATTTTGTTATGCTATGTGCTGGAGAATGCAATAAGAGTTGGGAACATCCTAAAACATCATGGTTTTTATTTTCAGCAGAAAAAAATAATTCCACTCCATGATGTATTTCATAAAAATGTTAAAAAGATTTTGTAAAAAACAGTGTCTGTGTGATGGGAAAGAAGGAAAGTAAAGAATTAGGAGAGGTACAAATGTATATTATTGCTAATATTTCCACATGTTATATGAATATGGGGCTTCATTTATTATTGAAAGCTCAGCTCCAGCAATGAAAAGAAATCCTTTTTACCACTTCAGCTTCCCGTACCTAATCTATACTGGTCATATGACAGGCTCATCGTCTTCTTTTGGTTGGTAGTATAAGAGGGTCTAGTCCACAGTGCCCACATCACTTCCTGGTGACATGGATGCTGCCCATTAACTGTTGGAAGAGTCCATCACCAAGTACTTACTAAGTTCTGAAGTTTTCCAGTGTGACATCATGATGAGGAGAGGGCACATGAGCGCTCGGCTAAGCAGTGAGGAGCTGGTTGCTGCACAGGAAGAAACACCACGGGACACCAAGTGACAGCTTGAGAGACGTTTTCCTGGGTTTTAAAGGCTCTTAAAAACACACAGGTTAAGTGCAGGTGGTATAGTGACACTTTAGAGCAGTTATGTTTCATCTGACCCCCTGTACTCCAGGGAAAGCGCTCCATAGGATAGACCAGAGAGTGCAAACTTTGGAGAAGATGTTGACAAGATATCTTGCTTGAACGGTGACTTGTGAGTATAAGATCAGGGGGTTAGTCAATTAAAGTGGTGCTGCACCAAAAGGCACAATTACACTTTAAGATGACTTTGATACATTGGAATGTAGCAACAGTTCAAAACAGAAAAGTAAGATCTATACTTGTATCATCTGTAAAAGCCTGACTAACTTTCTTTCGTGGACATACACAGGTATTAGCAGCAAGGTAATATCGATTAATCGATTATTGGAAAAGTTGACAACTTTTTCAATAATCGATTATAATCGATTATGTCGATTAGTTGTTGCAGCCCTAAATACAACCATTTTTAGCGAATGGAAAATATATTAATATGTTCTATAAGCATTTAATTACAAGCTCAATTTTCATAACTTTATTGTTTTTACTGTGATAGGCTTATAAAGAATAACAATGCAGAGTACTTAGTGGAGACCAATGTACTGGTGGCCTCTCTTGCACCTTTAGCCTCCAGGGTGTCAGGGTTTCTTACCCTTCCTTGTCTAATTGCTTGCAGCATGGCTTGTGTAGTGTTTCTGGCACCGTTAGTTCCTCTTTTGCGCCCTCTTATGCTCAAACCCGTTATCATCACTCTGTTACTTCTGGCAAAACGCCTGGCAAATTCCTGCATCAAAGTGATGATGCAAACACCAGCTCACTATTTAATCTCCAGGTTGTCCATTCGGTCTCTGCCCTTGCGCTTGTTCTGATCAACCAAGTGTGCTGCTGTTGTTCCTGATTTCTATGTATGACCCAGGGTCAATATTGGAAGGTCAAGACCAGTCACAAGGACAGTTGGGTCAGTATCAGTAAAAACAGGAACACAGGTCTGGTCACAAGAGCTGAAGACCACTTGGCAATCTCTTAATGCAATGCAGAGCCTTAAATAGGGTATTTGGTCTTAACACTACTAGTTGGCATGAGCACGCAAGGCAGAGCCTGTATCAAGATATGTGTGTATCCATTTGTTCTCACTAGCTTTTTGCGCATGTCGGTCAGCATAATCTTCCTGACAAACAACTCCAATTTGCAGTCCAAATCTCCGAGCATTGAAGTCATTTTCTTTATGTTGATATCTCTCAACACATTGTCATCACTTACCTTTTCCAGGTGTATTTCGCATAATATCTTTGCAACTTTTATTTTGTTTAAATGTTCACATGCCTATCTCTTCACCCAAAATACCTTTTCTTAAAAAAAAACAAAAAACATGCTACGAGTGCTATTATAACAATATCGGTGTTATTTTACCGGCCCCTATAAAAACAAAATCAATGTAAAAGTCAGTTTACAAATTTTCAATATCTGTATGTGGTGAGGAGAGCAGAAAAAAAGAGCTGTTTGATGGAGTGCTAAAATTACACTTCCTGAATTAAAATAACAATTTATGAGAAAATGGGGCTTTCAGTAGATAAATGTACATTTTTTGTGGAAATAGAAAGTAGGCAGCTTGGTGACATTTATGTTTGTGAAATGATCCTATTTAGGAGAAAATCATCATGAGCTAAAACAAGTAGCAGTGTTATAATAACTCGGTGAGCCAAGCCTGTGTATTAAAAATGTACTTTGTGCGTATTAGGTTTTTGTAGTTTTTAAATATTTTCACCTGATAATAAAAGATCTATTTAAAATGCAGCAACAGTTTGGGGCTTGATTCAGTTTAAATTCTTACATTGGTTGAGGGCAACAAGGAAGAGAGGAGAAGGACCATGTTCGGCTCACAATCCACTAGGTTCATGTACCTGATGTAAAAAGGGAGTAATAAGGGAGTAATAAGCTCTAATGGACAATTGCACTTGTTATGTTATGTGCAAAGGGTTGCTACAAAGTAAAAAAAATATTACCTTGCAGCACGTGATCCCCGGCA